AATATGAATCCTTGCAGTCAAGAAAGCTTCAAATCTAGAATGAATGCTAAAATTCCTCTTGATATGCAAATTATTTTGTCAAGGCGCTCTTCCTCCTCCCTCCCAGCTTAAATAGTCGCTCCAAGCCCAGGACGTGTCATTCAGACTCTGTCTTATCGACAGACCTGTTCTTCACCTGAGGACGGCTGCTTGCGTTGTGGCCGAAACGTCGTGAGAATTATTTTATTATGTTTTATTTTTATTATTTTATTATTTCCATTCTACGTGACTTTACCGAAAGAACCAAGAAGATGAATCCCTGCAGTCATGAAAGCTTTAAATCGAAATAAAAATTACACCATACTCTTTGGCTCTTTCGATAAAGTCACGTAGGTATAAAATAAAAAAAAATCACGACGTTTCGGGCACAACACAAGCGTCCCACCTGATGCAGTCACGAAAGCTTCAAATCAAGATCGAGTTATGACATGTCACACGTGTAAAATATGTTTGGGACAGCCCGCACCTCCATATACCCCGCAGGGTCTTGTTTTGTTTGTAAAAAGTGGTCTACACCGCGGGTTACATGCGGGAAAATACGGTACACTTGTCAAAGACAAAATATATCCCAGACATCCTTAAACAGACTGTTAGAGGCAAGTGCTGTGAGCGAGCGCCTATGAAGGTCGTACCTCTCACACGCACACACGCTGCCCACTGTTGCCCGTACGCGCGTGTGATGAGTAGGCAGACCCCAGAGGTGGCAACCGGGTACCCGATACCCGTACCATACCCGATACCCGGCTACCCGTACCCAGCCGGGTACGGGTACCCATTTGCGACCCTGGTGCGGCTGGGTACGGGTAGACCGTGAGTCACTGGTGAGTAACCGTTTGTCACTCATTTCCCAACGTCTTGTCTCTTCTCACAATTCAAGTTCCTAGAATCAACCGACCCGCGCCTGCAACATGGCTTCATCCCAGAGGTCGCAATCGGGTACTCGTACCCGTACCCTACACGATTCCCGGCCGGGTACGGGTAGGGTACGGGTACGGGTAGGGTACGGGTACGCGATTGCGACCCTGGTGCGGCCGGGTACGGGTAAGGAATCAAAACCCGTTTGCGACCTCTGGCAGACCCCTCTCACAGGTCTAGAGCTACCTCCACAGCGAGCACCAACAACGCTGCTCAACCACAGCAGCCGCATCGACAACCGCGGAGTGGCTGTGCTCTGCGGCCGCGAGCGTTAGGAGCTCGTGAACGGGGCTCGGAGCTCGTGAACGGGGCTATGAGCAGCAGATCGGCCTAACACGTGACACTCCCTTTCACTCTCCGCACCCGCAACTCGCAGTGAATTGTGGAGCAAGAGGAATGCAGCAGACAGAAGCCGAGAGGCGCGCGGGGAGGTGCATGGTGGGTGCGGTGTTGGGTTGGTGTGAGCGAGTGGGAGGGGGGTGTGAGAGGGGGTTGGGCAGTGTTGGAGGGGAGTTACCTGCAGTAGAGGGGGGGGGGATGAAGGGGGGGCATGAGGAGTAAGTTGCGTGGGTGGCGGGCAGCGCTTAGCAAGAGCCTCGTTGCGGGGCGGGGCTGGCCGGGGGGGGGGGGGCTGGCCAGGGGGGGGGGGCTGGCCGGGTGGGGGCGGCTGGCCGGGGGGGGGGGCTGGCCGGGGGGGGGGCTGGCCGGGGGGGGGGGCTGGCCGGGGGGGGGGGGCTGGCCATGGGGCGGGGCTGGCCGGGGGGCGGGTGAACCCCATCGCGTGGTGCCCCACAAACCCCCGGACATCATCCACCACCCCCCCTCCACCTCCAGCATCGCCACCAACCACCAAACCCACGCCTCCCCCTGCCCACCCACTCAGCCACACGCAGTCAAAGCGACCACGGCGCACTCCTTCACAGCCACCGCATCCACCCCTCTAGATCTCCTCCCTCTCGCACACACCGCACACGCGAGGGCATCACAATCATCACCATCCGCTGCCGCTGCCGCCGCTTGTGCACACAAAGCAGCAGCAGCCCTTCGCGAGAGGAGGACAAAAAACGCGAGGTGAGCGTGGTTCCGTGCGTGTGTGTGAGACTGATTCGTGTGTGTGTGTGTGAGACGGATCCTTGTGTGTGCGGTTTCCTGCACAGATGCCATATTATCTGTTCGTCTGCAACAGCAGAGGTGTAGGGAATTCCAACAAGACCTACATCTACGCTTCATTGACCTGGTCAAATCCTATGATACCATCAGTCGGACTGGGCTCTGGGTTGTTCTTTGTGCTTTCGGAGTCCCTGACCCTCTGCTCACGCTCATTAAGGACCTTCATGATGGTGAGCGGGCCTGGGTAAAACTACGTGGCAGGGTGTCAGAGCCATTCCCTGTACACGTTGGGGTGCGACAGGGATGTCCTCTGGCTCCCACATTATTTCACATCTATTTCGACCACGTAGTTCGTGAAGCCTTCAATAGCCGTACCGGAGGAATTCCCATCTGGTACAGATACAATGGGAGGCTGATCGATGCCCGGGTGCAGTCAAGGGATGGCTCCCTATTGCTTAACCACGTTATGTATGCCGATGACACAACACACCGGGCCCTATTTCGTACCAATCCCCCCCCCCCCGGGCACGTGTCACGTGGTGCTCTGGACCGGCTCTTTACAGGTGGCAGCCCCAGCAACTTGCCGCGCTCTGCACGCTGCTGGCGCCCGGTCACAGTCGCACAATTCGTGTCGCCCGGTCACAGTCGCCCAGTCGTGCTAGTCGCCTAGTTAGAGTCGCCCAGTCGCCTTGCTGCTGCTGCTATCGCTGGGTATTGGAGGCGACCCCACGTCCCTGGTCACCCCCAGCAGCAGCTGCAGCAGCATCACAGCTGAGAGGAGGAGGCGAGGTTGTCTCTCTCGCCCTGCTCACGGAGACTGCGTCCCTGGGTCCCCACCGCGATTCTCGGGGTTCCATTTGGTTCATCGGCTCCTCGTGTCGAGGCGTCTCTCTGTGTGAGAGTCTCTGCCTGTGACTGTTACACTCGTGGTCTACGTGTCTCTGTGTGTGTATCACTCTGTGTCTGTCACTCTTTGTGTCTATCACTCTGTGTAAGGAGAGTAAATCTGTGCGCGGTCTCTAGCGCCCAGCTCGACACAAAGACTCGACTCTTGCTCTGGGGAGCAGTGAAATTAACCGGTGACGGAAAGTCCACGGCACTCGCACACACAGCCAACACACAGCACACACACAGCACACACAACACACACACACACAGCCAACACACACACTACACACACAACACACACACACAGCCAACACACAGCACACACACAACACACACAGCACACACACACAGCCAACACACAGCCAACACACACACAACACACTCACACAGCCAACACACAGCACACACACACACTACACACACACACTACACACACACACCACACACACTACACACACACACTACACACACACACTACACACACTACACACACTACACACACACACCCCACACAGACTACACACACACACTACACACACACACCACACACACTACACACACACACTACACACACACACTACACACACACAGCACTCACACACACACTACACACGCACAGCACTCACACACACACTACACACACACACTACACACACACAGCACTCACACACACACTACACTCACACACACTACACACACACAACACTCGCACACACACACTGCACACACACACTACACACACACACTACACACACACACTACACACACACTACACACACACAACACTCGCACACACACACTACACACACACACTACACACACTACACACACTACACACACACACACTACACACACACCACACACACTACACACACACACTACACACACACACACACTACACACACACACACTACACACACACCACACACACTACACACACACACTACACACACACACACTACACACACACACACACCACACACACTACACACACACACTACACACAACACTCGCACACATCGCCGCTCGTGAGACGAAGGTGTCTGGGCGTGGTGCTGGCCACCCACCCCTCGTGTGCCGTGCGAGCCTTCATAGGTGCTCGCGAACAGCACTTGCCCCTACAGTCTGTTACAGGCTACACGGGGGATCTTTGTCTCGGGGGGTGGGGGGGTGACGTGTAGAGAGAGAATATACTCTTAGTTATTTCCGTAAAGTCACGTAGGTAAAAAAATGAAATTAAAATTAATAAAATAAAACAATAAAATCACTGTTTTATTTTATTAATTTAAATTTCATTTTTTTACCTACGTGACTTTACCGAAAGAACTAAGAGTATGAATCCTTGCAGTCACGAAAGCTTCAACTCTAGAGAGAGAGAGGGCTGTGTGACTGAGTGGAGAGTGTGAGAGTGATTTAAAATATATGGCTGTAAGGAGGTTCTATCATATGCTATCACGGGAGATCTTGTGCTTGTGGTTCTTCATGTGCGGCAAGTGTTTACATTTTACGTTTAATTGCTTTATTTTAAAACAAGAAGTAAATTTCGATTTAAAACTTTCGTGACTGCAGGGATTCATCTTCTTGGTTCTTTCGGTAAAGTCACGTAGAAGGGAAATAATAAAATAAAAGAACAGCGCCTGACAGCCCTGTTCTTCACCTGAGGACGGCTGCTTGCGTTGTGCCCGAAACGTCTTGAGAATTATTTTATTATGTTTTATTTTTATTATTTTCCTTCTACGCGACTTTACCGAAAGAACCAAGAAGATGAATCCCTGCAGTCACGAAAGCTTTAAATCGAACTATAATACGCGTATAGTCCACGTGTAGTAATAAAAAAAAAATTGGCGGGAAAAATGCGGCACACACAGCAGCCATTGCCACATGGTCCCCACCCCACCCAGAGACACGTTAATGCACCTCGGCGGAATCAACCAATCAGCGGGCTGAACGTGCCGTCATGTGAATATTAATGAGGTCGCTCGGACCAATGGGAGGCGAGGGGGCGTGGTGCTACACCTTCCCGCCGAGCCGCATAGAAGCGACGAGCACATCCAGGTGAGGGAGACGCCCAGTCGCGTTATTGGTGTCCTGCTCTTCCCCCCCATCATCATCATCACAGCTGAGGAGGTGAGGTTGTCTCTCTCGCCCTGCTCACGGAGACTGCGTCACTGGGTACCGACCGCGATTCTCGGGGTTCCATTTGGTTCATCGACTTCTCGTGTCTTTACCTTTGTGAGTGTGTGACGTTGTCTCTGTGTGTCTGTCACGCTGTGTGTCTATGTGTGTCTGTGTGTCTTATCACTTTGTCTATGTGTGTCTGTCACTCTGTTTGTGACTGTGTGTCTATCACTCTGTGTCTGTGTGACTGTGTGTCTATCACTGTGTGTCTGTGTGACTGTGTCTGTGTGACTCTGTGTCTATCACTCTGTGTTTGTGTGACTGTGTGTCTATCACTCTGTGTCTGTGTGACTGTGTGTCTATTACCGTGTGTCTGTGACTGTGTGTCTATCACTGTGTGTCTGTGTGACTGTGTGTCTATCACTGTGTGTCTGTGTGACTGTGTGTCTATCACTGTGTGTCTGTGTGACTGTGTGTCTATCACTGTGTGTCTGTGTGACTGTGTGTCTATCACTGTGTGTCTGTGTGACTGTGTGTCTATTACCGTGTGTCTGTGACTGTGTGTCTATCACTGTGTGTCTGTGTGACTGTGTGTCTATCACTGTGTGTCTGTGTGTCTATCACTGTGTGTCTGTGTGACTGTGTCTGTGTGACTCTGTGTCTATCACTCTGTGTTTGTGTGACTGTGTGTCTATCACTCTGTGTCTGTGTGACTGTGTGTCTATTACCGTGTGTCTGTGACTGTGTGTCTATCACTGTGTGTCTGTGTGACTGTGTGTCTATCACTGTGTGTCTGTGTGACTGTGTGTCTATCACTGTGTGTCTGTGTGACTGTGTGTCTATCACTGTGTGTCTGTGTGACTGTGTGTCTATCACTGTGTGTCTGTGTGACTGTGTGTCTATCACTGTGTGTCTGTGTGACTGTGTGTCTATTACCGTGTGTCTGTGACTGTGTGTCTATCACTGTGTGTCTGTGTGACTGTGTGTCTATCACTGTGTGTCTGTGTGACTGTGTGACTGTGTGTCTATCACTGTGTGTCTGTGTGACTGTGTGACTGTGTGTCTATCACTGTGTGTCTGTGTGTCTATCACTGTGTGTCTGTGTGTCTGTGTGACTGTGTGTCTATCACTGTGTGTCTGTGTGTCTATCACTGTGTGTCTGTGTGTCTGTGTGACTGTGTGTCTATCACTGTGTAACTGTGTCTATTACTGTGTGTCTATCACTGTGTGTCTATGTGTGTCTATCACTGTGTGACTCTGTGTCTATGTGTGTCTATCACTGTGTGACTCTGTGTCTGTGTGTGTCTATCACTGTGTGACTCTGTGTCTGTGTGTGTCTATCACTGTGTGACTCTGTGTCTGTGTGTGTCTATCACTGTGTGACTGTGTCTGTGTGTGTCTATCACTGTGTGACTGTGTCTGTGTGTGTCTATCACTGTGTGACTGTGTCTGTGTGTGTCTATCACTGTGTGACTCTGTGTCTGTGTGTGTCTATCACTGTGTGACTCTGTGTCTGTGTGTGTCTATCACTGTGTGACTCTGTGTCTGTGTGTGTCTATCACTGTGTGACTCTGTGTCTGTGTGTGTCTATCACTGTGTGTCTGTGTGTCTGTGTGTGTCTATCACTGTGTGTCTGTGTGACTGTGTGTCTATCACTGTGTGTCTGTGTGACTGTGTGTCTATCACTGTGTGTCTGTGTCTGTGTGTGTATCACTGTTTGACTGTGTCTGTGTGTGTATCACTGTGTGACTCTGTGTTTGTGTGTGTCTATCACTGTGTGTCTGTGTGACTGTGTGTGTCTATCACTGTGTGTCTGTGTGACTGTGTGTCTATCACTGTGTGACTCTGTGTCTATGTGTGTCTATCACTGTGCGACTGTGTCTGTGTGTGTATCACTGTGTGACTGTGTCTGTGTGTGTATCACTGTGTGACTCTGTGTTTGTGTGTGTCTATCACTGTGTGTCTGTGTGACTGTGTGTCTATCACTGTGTGTCTGTGTGACTGTGTGTCTATCACTGTGTGTCTGTGTGACTGTGTGTCTATCACTGTGTGTCTGTGTGACTGTGTGTCTATCACTGTGTGTCTGTGTGACTGTGTGTCTATCACTGTGTGTCTGTGTGACTGTGTGTCTATCACTGTGTGTCTGTGTGACTGTGTGTCTATCACTGTGTGTCTGTGTGACTGTGTGTCTATCACTGTGTGTCTGTGTGACTGTGTGTCTATCACTGTGTGTCTGTGTGACTGTGTGTCTATCACTGTGTGACTGTGTGTCTATCACTGTGTGTCTGTGTGACTGTGTGTCTATCACTGTGTGTCTGTGTGACTGTGTGTCTATCACTGTGTGTCTGTGTGACTGTGTGTCTATCACTGTGTGTCTGTGTGACTGTGTGTCTATCACTGTGTGTCTGTGTGACTGTGTGTCTATCACTGTGTGTCTTTGTGACTGTGTGTCTATCACTGTGTGTCTGTGTGACTGTGTGTCTATCACTGTGTGTCTGTGTGACTGTGTGTCTATCACTGTGTGTCTGTGTGACTGTGTGTCTATCACTGTGTGTCTGTGTGACTGTGTGTCTATCACTGTGTGTCTGTGTGACTGTGTGTCTATCACTGTGTGTCTGTGTGACTGTGTGTCTATCACTGTGTGTCTGTGTGACGGTGTGTCTATCACTGTGTGTCTGTGTGACTGTGACTGTGTGACTGTGTGTCTATCACTGTGTGTCTGTGTGACTGTGTGTCTATCACTGTGTGTCTGTGTGACTGTGTGTCTATCACTGTGTGTCTGTGTGACTGTGTCTGTGACTGTGTGTCTGTGTGACTGTGTGTCTATCACTGTGTGACTGTGTGTCTATCACTGTGTGTCTATCACTGTGTGTCTGTGTGACTGTGTGTCTATCACTGTGTGTCTGTGTGACTGTGTGTCTATCACTGTGTGACTCTGTGACTATGTGTGTCTATCACTGTGTGTCAATGTGTGACTCTGTGTATTTGTGTGTCTATCACTCTGTGTCTATGTGTGACTGTGTGTCTGTGTGTCTATCTCTGTGTCTATGTGTGACTGTGTGTCTATGTGTGTCTATCACTCTGTGTCTGTGTCTATGTGTGTCTATCACTCTGTGTCTGTGTGACTGTGTGTCTATCACTCTGTGTCTACGTGTGACTGTGTGACTGTGTGTCTATCACTCTGTGTCTATGTGTGACTGTGTGTCTGTGTGTCTATCTCTGTGTCTATGTGTGACTGTGTGTCTATCACTGTGTGACTCTGTGTCTATGTGTGTCTATCACTCTGTGTCTGTGTCTATGTGTGTCTATCACTCTGTGTCTGTGTCTATGTGTGTCTATCACTCTGTGTCTGTGTGACTGTGTGTCTATCACTCTGTGTCTGTGTCTATGTGTGTCTATCACTCTGTGTCTGTGTCTATGTGTGTATCACTCTGTGTCTGTGTCTATGTGTGTCTATCACTCTGTGTCTGTGTCTATGTGTGTCTATCACTCTGTGTCTGTGTCTATGTGTGTCTATCACTCTGTGTCTGTGTCTATGTGTGTCTATCACTCTGTGTCTGTGTGACTGTGTGTCTATCACTCTGTGTCTATGTGTGACTGTGTGTCTATCACTCTGTGTCTGTGTGTGACTGTGTGTCTATCACTCTGTGTCTGTGTGTGTCTATCACTCTGTGTCTGTGTGTGTGTCTATCACTCTGTGTGTGTGTGTCTGTGTGTGTGTCTATCACTCTGTGTGTCTATCACTCTGTGTGTCTATCACTCTGTGTGTGTGTGTCTGTGTCTGTGTGTGTGTCTATCACTCTGTGTGTCTATCACTCTGTGTGTCTATCACTCTGTGTGTCTATCACTGTGTGTGTGTCTATCACTGTGTGTGTGTCTATCACTCTGTGTGTCTATCACTGTGTGTGTGTCTATCACTCTGTGTGTCTATCACTGTGTGTGTGTCTATCACTCTGTGTGTCTATCACTGTGTGTGTGTCTATCACTCTGTGTGTCTATCACTGTGTGTGTGTCTATCACTCTGTGTGTCTATCACTGTGTGTGTGTCTATCACTGTGTGTGTGTCTATCACTGTGTGTGTGTCTATCACTCTGTGTGTGTCTATCACTGTGTGTCTGTGTGTCTATCACTCTGTGTGTGTGTCTATCACTCTGTGTCTGTGTGTCTATCACTCTGTGTCTGTGTGTCTATCACTCTGTGTCTATCACTCTGTGTGGGTCTATCACTCTGTCTGTGTCTATCACTCTGTGTGTGTGTGTCTATCACTCTGTGTGTGTGTGTCTATCACTCTGTGTCTGTGTGTCTATCACTCTGTGTCTGTGTGTCTATCACTCTGTGTCTGTGTGTCTATCACTCTGTGTCTGTGTGTCTATCACTCTGTGTCTATCACACTGTGTGTCTATGTGTGACTGTGTGTCTATCACTCTGTGTCTATCACACTGTGTGTCTGTGTGACTGTGTGTCTATCACTCTGTGTCTATCACACTGTGTGTCTATGTGTGACTGTGTGTCTATCACACTGTGTGTCTATGTGTGACTGTGTGTCTATCACTCTGTGTCTATGTGTGACGGTGTGTCTATCACTCTGTGTGTCTATCACTGTGTGTCAATGTGTGACTGTGTGTCTATCTCTGTGTCTATGTGTGACTGTGTGTCTGTGTGTCTATCACTCTGTGTCTGTGTGTCTATCACTCTGTGTCTATGTATGACTGTGTGACTGTGTGTCTATCACTCTGTGTCAATGTATGTCTGTGTGACTGGGTGTCTATCACTGTGTGTCTATTACTGTGTGTCTATCACTGTGTGTCTATGTGTCTCACTGTGTGTCTGTGTGACTGTGTGTCTATCACTCTGTGTGTCTATGTGTGACTGTGTGTCTATCTCTGTGTCTATGTGTGACTGTGTGACTGTGTGTCTATCACTCTGTGTCAATGTATGTCTGTGTGACTGTGTGTCTATCACTGTGTGTCTATTACTGTGTGTCTATCACTGTGTGTCTATGTGTCTCA